CAACTATATGATATTATACTATAATATAATATATATATAATTACAATATAATATATAATTATTATATTATATATAATAAATATATTATAATTAATACATTATGTAGTCGTGTGTAATACACTATAAAATAATAATATTAAAATTTAAAGATTATATTAAAATTTAATAATATTAATTATTATATTATTATTATTATAATAAATATTATTATATTAATACTATATAATATAATTATATTAGAATTATTTGTATAATTGTTATATTTTTTGTTAAAATATTACATTATGTTATATTATATTATATTATTACATCATATTATTGTTTTATTATATTATATTATATTGTAATATTATTATATATTATATTATAAGATATAATTATGTTATAATATAATATATATATTATAGAATATTAAATAAATATAATATAATTTATAACTATACTATAAATTAATTATAATATTATTATAACTATATTATATTATAATATTATAATATTATATTATATATTATAAGATATAACTACTATATAATATATTTTAATTATATTATAATATTGAAGGGTAATTATGGAAAACAAAACAAAGAAAATAACTTGAAATGACTATTCTTGCCATGTGAGGAAATAATGATGATTCACCCAAAATAGGTGAATAATCATTCATTTTGAATGATTATTCATTTCTTATATATTCAACCAAACATCAAACTTAAATTTCATTTTATTTTATTCATTTCCTTTCCGCCTAACTAAGCACACCCTACATCTAAATGTGGAGAAAAATGAAAATGCAACCTTGAATGTAATTGGAGGTATATTCCAAAATTTGAGCACTTTTAGTTGTTGCCAAACATCCATAATGACAATATTCAGAAAACAAGTTCAATTTTATTGCTAATTATCTCAAGTTACACACGAGGACTACCTTTAAATCTGAAACACCTAAGAAGGCATTCTCCAATACATTACAAAGTTTAGAATTTATTTTGAATGACAAAGTTCATTATTACGCTCCTTTTTTTTCTTTAGTAATTTATCCACATTCGTACGATGCTTCACCTCATGAGCATGTCACGCACACATTATCAAGAGAAGCCGAAATCTCCCCTGCCAAACTTGTCCATCTCGGCCTTAAAAGCCGGCATGGCACTCTCACGCAGTGTGATTGAGACCTTGAAACCGTCCTTTTTTCCGACGCTCGCCGTCAAGTAAGGCAAGAAATAGCAAGGCTCAACACTACCAAGAAAGTGCCTCGATAGTGGCAAAACCGCGACGGGACCTCCCCAACCGAAGTCGACAGTCGAGTGCCCCAAGTGTCTCCAATCCGTAAACCCGCTCACATCTTTGCCTGCACTGATCCCTTCTGCGTAATGCAGGCTCTGGAAGTCGATGTACGAGCGCACGTACTCGTCGGTGGCGTGTCTTTTGCTCTTCTTGATCAAATCCGCCGCTTCCCAAATGGGCTTCTCAACTAAATCCTTGGCGCTAGTCTTGGTGTATATTGGGACGCAAGCGTTGCCCCAGAAGGTAGGCGGAAGTGGGGGCTTCACTAGCTTCCTTATGTTGAGGAAATACGCGTACTTTACTATCTCATCTCCGGGGATTTTTGTTGCTTTAATTCTGTATTACCAATGACAAACATGTTAATCATGAGTTAAGAGAGTTTCCTTTCCAAACAAAAATATATATAAACCACTTGTCAAGTTTCTTTGATAATGAAAAATACAAATATTTATATTTCGGAATTTTTAATTAGAAAACAAAAAAATAGGGGAATGCATACAAATCACTTGTTATATTCAAGTCAAAGATTGTATAAAAAAATATTTCCGAACTTTAAATTTTTTTTTCTTATTTTTTTTCTATTTTTCTTTAAAAGGTGTTTAGATCGTTATTGCAATTAAAATTGACTGTTAATCTACAAAAGGTAATAATTTAATATAAATTTAAAATTTAAAGCATAAATGTGATACACTCCAAAGTATAATGCATGATTTTTTGGGTTAAAAAAAAACCCTAATAAAAACAATTCACTTGTGGTCAAGTTGTTCAATGCAAAAAGAATAGGGTTTATTTGACCGTCCTCACTCTAAAATTGTTTTTAAAAGTGTTTGAATGATTTATTAAAGTGCTTTACCATATTATAACATATTTATTATTTATTAGAAAATTTTAAAATATAATTCTAAACACTTAATGGACGTTTAATTCATGAATTTAGAATCATGATTCATAATTATTCTCGTTTTATGTGTATTTTTTGTGAAAAAAAAAATTGTAGAAAATCATGAATCATGATTCAAAATCATGAACGAATACAAAAAACAAACATCCCTTTAAAAAAGAAACTATTATCCATGTCAATAATCATGAAAGCTAAAATCTAGAACCAATTGGCTTGACATTTTCTTTTTTAATTTCCGTCTTCAGTTGACTTGACATTAACTTGCCTATTCTAGCATCTTTAACATGTCCACATTTAAACATTAAGGACATATTCTTTTAGAGTGTGATTTGAGCGTAGTTCTTAAGTTGAATTTGAGTTATAACTTGAATTGAAGTTGTAACTTGAATTTGTATTTGGTTGTGTACATTTGAGTTATAGTTTGATATAAGAATCTTTGAGTTTGTATTTGAGTGAGTCAAAACTTGAATTTGAATTTAGATAATATTTTAATAAAAACTCAATGATGATGAAAAATTTTAGGGTAGAGTTTTATTCATTTTTTCATTGTCAACCCAGAGAAAAAAATTATCTTAATCAGAATTAAAACGAAAAAGTTATATCATTTTTAATAATAGAAAAAATACTGTTTATTAATTTAAGTTTGAATTTTTGAACTTGAATTGAAGGGGAAACTTGAACTCAAGTTTTAGTTCTAAACTCGAGTTTAAACTGAGTTCAAATTTAAAAGAACATGAACTTAAATAAAACTAAAAATCGAG